TTTCCTAGTTTATACAACTTAATTATCAGGATGCTGAGAATTTGAAATGAGAAGAGTCCTTTTCTATGCCCCAGGAAGACCTAATACTTCACCGGACTGAGTTTTAAGCTTAATACCATAACTTAATGCAAGCTTATAATTCATTAACGGAGAATGTTGTAGTCATGGAAACAACATAGAAAAGAGAAAGTTAGAGCCTAAGCTCTGGATGATTTAGCAGCCCAGCAGCTCAAACAGGAGAGGGGTGGCTCGGGTGTTACACCTTGGTCCAGCCCGAGCTCATGTTCTTGCTGTTGCAAGTCAACGCCTGGAAGGAACTTCCCTGGCCATTTACCTGTTTCCCTACAAAACTTGCTGAGCAATCTGAGGAGATGCTTTTGCACTAATTTTCCTGTGAAGTAGAACAAAAGACACAGCCTCTGGCTCCTGTGCTTTTTTCCTTGGCTTAACAAATGCTTATGAAGAAGGTGGCAACACATGGCTTTTTGCCCATCTTACTGTGCACTCTCACTGATTCTTACTTGTTCCTTTTGAGAATAAATAACTAATGAATGACATTACATAAATGTATTGCACTAATGAATGTATCCGCACATATTTATGCATATAGAAGGGCACACGCTTGGATTAGACTGCAGCAGACTGGAGATGCCTACAAAAGTCATTGCAATACAACAAGAGACACCCGTACCGGGGAGAAGCGCAGTACCACGGACATTATCAAGGATTCATGAGGTTTACTCAGATCATTTTTCAGCCATGTAGTCCTTGGTGAAATTACATTCTAGCAACACTTCTTTGCAGCAAGAACACTGAAAATATGCAAATAAGCAGAAAGCTGTTTATCTGCACTCATATTTATTTTTTTGTGACAGAGAAGTCACTATGGTGAACTACAATATAATTAATAAAAAATGCAATATATAAAATTGAAAATGCATTTTTACTTCAATAGGTAAAATAGTTATTGAAAAAACAGCTAGAAAAAAACCTTATCGTTCCCATTGCTAGTAAAAAGGCATGAAGGCAAACAGGATGTTTCATAAAAATATAAATGGGGAGGGTGATAAAACTCTACCTGGGAGTTAAATATGGACTATTTTATGTCTTTAGTTTACTTTTCCCCCCATTTCCTCTCCTCCTCCCCTTAAACTGGTGTCATATTTACCCTTTTGGTTAGTAAATGTATTTAAAGGATTTGCCTGAAAAAAAATGTTTGTGCCATATGTGAAAAAAGATTAAAAATGCCTTTTTGCTGAAAGTATGTCCAAGAACACAGGATACCCACTCCTGAAGCCCACCCATGTGCTGTACCGCTTTGCTCATCAGGTAGGTACAATGATATCAGAGTGTCCATGAATTAATTTAGGTTACAAATAATAGAAGATAAAGTAGTGTGCCCCACAAAGAATTCTGTATGATTAGTAAAACTTCGTTATTTTGCCTAATCCTACCACAAGCTGTGTGTTTAGAAGCCATGTCTCTTCTAACACCTTGCAGGTTCACAGAATTCATGAGATAATTCTACTTAGTGACTCAGAGATTTCCACGGAGGTCCATTTCTCTCACCTAGCATATAAAGCTGAGCATGACGGAGGCAGAAAGGCAGGTAATAACAGAATCATGAGGCACTTGAAGGTAGAGATGAACTGAGCAACATAAAGGTGAGCAGAGGCAACGCTTGCTTTTACAGCTGCAAATTATTAAATATTTTGATCAGAGGAAAAATTATCATCAGTTCCAATTAAAAATCTTGAATAAAGGGCTGTATGAAAAATGTTATACTGAATTTTATCAAAATAGTAGTTTAATTTAATGGGTTTGTATCTTTCTAAATATATACCTACAAACAATTTGCATTATTTCCTTCCTTTCAGGACTTTTGCTAAACAGCTGCTTGCTGTGGGAGCTATTTTGTGTTCTTTACTGACCCCGTGTGGTTTCTCACTCTGAGGAGAAGTTATTTTCTCAAGCTCAGCATTATGTTAAACGGATGTTTACTTAGGATAAAGGCAATCAGAGAATACTAAAGGACAATACAACAGTTTAATATATCATAGACCACCTCAACAGATATGTTTCTTTTGGGGTGTTTATAATCACATTTCCTATTAAATTTTTTTAAACTTTTTTTCTGTTGCTGTATAGAATTTAAAACTGTATGAAGTACTTGAATATGTGATTTCTGAAAAATCCCCAAATCTGCCAGGCACAAGATTAAGGTAACCGTATCCCCTAGAAAATGTAAACAATTAAGTCAAATGACTATGAAAGAAATAAATTTGAAAAGGGATATATCTACCATAAGAACAGGAGTTTCAGGGAGTATCAACCTGGACAACGGATGTCTGGCTGTGAGCAGTGAAATCTAGAGGGAAGAGTTTCCAGTTACCCATTTGGCACTGTCAACATGTTTAATCTGTTTAATAATTCTGTGGCCACCTGAGTCTACTTTGTTTTCTGCCTTTATTACCAAACACTCTATCCCCTGCAACAGAGCAGTGTCTAACTAGATGAAATGTAATTAAAGAGGCTGCCTAGGAATAATATTCAAGAATTCTTGCAGAAATATCCTGTGGTAATGGTAATAAAAGCCCCAAGCAACAAATATGATGCTAGAACAGCAAATTCTCAAGTGTCAAAAAAAAGAACTGCTTTTATATAAGCTCCTTCATTTTTTTAATTATGCAATTTTTCAATAATAAAACCCCCTAGATTATATAATTCATTTTTAAGCTTAAAACTTATTTCAGTATGGACAAAAAATAAAATTGCCTTCTAAAATAATATTTAAGGACAGCAGTTCTACCTGATCTGAGCACAAATCCCTGTGATCACAAAACACAGATGAAAAGTTGCAGACCAGGACTGATTTTAAAACCTTGGAATCCTGTATCCAAATCTTAACATGCGATGGAATTATTTGACACACACAAACACACACACACACAGATGAAGGTGTCTTCTGCATGTTGTTATGAAAATAATCTATTTAAATATACACTTTGCTGGCAGAACAAAACCAGTACAAATGCGTGATCCTTCCTAGATTCTGATAACTTCATAACCAAGCATTTATGCTGTTTGACCTTCCTCACAGCACTTTCAAATTTGCTATGATATTATACAGTAATTTTTGTACATTTTACTGTTTTCTAGCTCAGAAGTGTTACATTATCCTCAGGAACACAGCCTTCCTTCTTCATCTGCTCCTGCTGTTTCCTTTCAATTCCAATCTTGTAAACTTGGGAACATAACCTCCCCAGAGCCCCACATAAACTGATTACTTACAAAATGATTTCCAAAGACATGCTAACGTCAGTGGAGATTAGGTTGCAGAATGCAGCGTGCAGTGACGCTGCTGAGCTTAGGTCAGTGATGCTAAGTCACTGTCAGCAGCAAGCAGAGAACAGGCATTTGTAATAATTTAGAGAGAAAAGACAGACAAGAAACAAGGAAGCATTTTTTTTTTCCATTAAAAAAACGGAATTCTTGAGTCTCCACATCAGAAGAGAGTGCCAAATGTCTTTGTTGGAATTCATGATTATAATTCACAAGGACTAGGCATGAAGTTTGCCTACAGAGTAGCAGCTGTAGGAAATTGTTTAGCTCTTTTTTTAGGTGCACTCCTATGATGAAAAGACAAATTGACCAAGGACTTTTGTCAGTTTATATCACTGTACTTCAAGGTCTGGATTTTATAATGAAGTGACAACACAATGTTAGACATAACTTTGTATTTATCCCAGATGTATTTTTTCAGGGTAGTTTTTTGCTCTGGTTTAAAATACATTTAAGCAGAGAAACTTGTAACCTCCCTGCATTAAACAAGTTTCACCAATTAAACCAAAATGTGATTTTATTTTCAAATGAGAAGAGATGTGATGGATTGAGGAAGGGTAGTCCTCTTCTGTACAGGCTTTTCTGAGATAAAAATACCAGATAAAAAATCAAGGTTAATTAAATATAAGTCACTGATTACATGACAAATGATTACTGCATTAAATAATTGGCAACGACAAATGGTTTTATTCTTTGTTTTTCTGGTCCAGTTTTTAAAAAATTTGGTAAAATGATGCATTAATAATATAAACAACTCTTCAAAAATAAAATTTAATTTTTAAATTAAGTATTTTAAGCTTTGAGCTATAGCACATAAACTGCTCTAGGTCAACTTAAATTGTAAAAATACTACTGGAAGATGATAATGGCTTCAATTACCTTATAGTCTTAAAACAGTTTACAGCACAGGAGTGTCAAATTTCAATTTAAATTGTAACTTAACCAATGTATGAGACAGAAAATGTGATTTGTGTCAGTAATCTTTGACCCAATAAAGCAAGATAATTTGTTAGAGATACATGCAAACTAAAACCCCACACATGTATGTTCTCAATGCTGATATGTATCTTTTATGGCCATAATTCAGTGAGGTGGTGATTAGCGAAACAAGTAAAATGGGAAGTAAACAGGTGAAGTGGTCAGGTATCAGAGCATCTGTGCATATGGGCAATATCTGTTATGATATAGTATGCTCCAACTAGCATATATCAATATATGTAGTATATTATATCATAAAACATGCATGCTATAGTATGTAAATTTATCTTTTTAAATACACAGTGAATACGAGCATTATTTGATCAGTGAAAGTTATTTAAAGTTCCATGAGTGTCTTTCAAATTAAAGATGCACCATTTTCCATAAGAAGGTGGCATTCATTCAACTAATCCCTTCAAAAGGAAAGGCACACTGCATCTGCGGAGGTTTGATGACCCCTTTCTGTAAGCGAACTTCTAATCTGGCAAGTACTTTGTGACAAATTATGGAAGATTTATATTTCAATTTTTTTTTTATCCACTAGATGAGCATAATTGGGGAAAAAACAAGTGCATCCTTAAAATATGGTGAGAATGAAACTGAATTTGATAAACTTCAAACACTGGTAGGGAGGGTTGTGTGAAGAGAAAGATGTAGGAGAACACCAAGGAGAAAACTACCTTGAAGAAGCAGATAGTTACATGACAGTCCTGGAAGAGACAGGAAAGGGAGAAACACTGCTTCATTAGTAAAGGGCTGGCAAAGCAAAGCAACAACAATTAGTAGCAGAAATAAACAAATAAAGACACAGCAGCGAGAATACGGAAATGGACACATCTGTTATGCACAGAAAAATCACGAAAAAGAAATCGTGGTGTTAAATCACCCTAACAGCAAGGAGCACAGTACGGCATAGCACAGTGAAGTACAGGTCTTCACGCAACTGCTCTTCGAGGTGAACCTCAATCTTGTACATACATACGCTTCATGCATGAAAAATTCCTAATGGCATTAAAACACTGCAGTGCATAAAGCTAAATGTATGTATCCACGTGTACAGTCTGAGCTCTTAACAACTAATGAGCACTGTAGGGGGGTGACAGCACAAAAGGGGTTTTTTGCCTTGCTTTGAGACAAGCATTTAAACTTTATATAAGGGATAAAGAAATCTCTGCTACCAATATGGTTTTCTATGTACAATCTTCACTTTAAATCACAACACAGAGACTGAGAAAAGCCTTACAAAAATCACAAGCTGATATGAACTGAGACCAGAGATGTATGTCATCTGGTTAAGAAATTTCAAGTTCTCTACTTTCAGATATGGTGAATGGAGGGGAAACCTCCAGATAACTGCATATGGGAATTCCCCATGCCAAACTATAGTATAGAACAGATGGAGACATCTAACAGCATCTCTATAATGCTGTAAACTATTCTCTAATCATTAAATATGCACAGTTTAAAAATAGGAACGAGTGCCACAGCCAAAAAAAGAAGCTCTTCTTTTTATATCTCTGTATACATAGCAAGTGTGGATTGATGTGCCAGTGATATTTCAGCTGGTCATGATTTCAGTGTAGCTTAGTGTCTGTTTCCTGAAAAGTAAATTTAAAATTTAACCTTTCCTTTTACAATTTGAAGTGTCAGCAACATTATTTCTCTTTTCCACATTACCTTTGTTGAACTGCCTGAAGTTACAGTTATTGCTTCAAAATGGGAATGCGTACTGGTTAGACACAGATATGGTAGAGAGGGTCTTTTCTTTATTTACAAAAAAAAAAAAAAAAAAAAAAAAAAAGAGTACAGTAACTGCAGTGTAACAGCTCTGGGGCAAAAACATCGCCATCCTTCAAAGACTTAAAAGAAATGTCTCCTTCATAGCCCTTACAGGACTTCAGACAGAGACCAGAAGAATTCAACTCAGAATTGAAACTGCTCTAGGATCTCCTGGCCATTGATTAAAGGAAAGAAAGAAAGAAAGAAAGAAAATATCCTTTTGACCTAAACCTGTTGTAAATATCAGAAAAAATGCCAGATTAATGCAGAAAGTACTGTCCTTCTCCTTTCTAATAAAGCAGCCAGAAACTGCTCTAGAAAAGCTAAAACTAAAGGGAGTGTTAAATATCTAAGAAATGCAGTACCTGCAGTGAAGCAAACTGAAATGATGTACTGATGTTCAGAAAGGGAAGGATAAATAAAAGAGGTTTCTCTAGCGTTAGGCTACAACATGGAAACTCATCAGAAAGCCTTAATTGTGCCTTGAAATCTGCAGACATTTTCAAATACCGTCTAACACCAGCTGTACTGCCACAAAGAGAGGCCTGATGGCGTAAATAAATGGTAGCTTTGTATGCAGCAGTTACATACACAGACTGAGATAGGTTACTTGCTCATAAATTCACGTCTGCACAAGGATTAACACACAAGTTTGGTCAAACAAAATGCTGCCCTGAATACTGGAGGAATTTAGCAGCACATCAGATGCAGAAATATCTACAGCTCTTGAGTCACCAGAGAGGTTCTGGGTATTTATAACCAAACGTGATGGCCAAGCACCACATTGTCCCTGTTCTTATATTTAAAATGGTAAGGCATTTTAAAAGATATTTTCTTTAGGATCATAATAATAGTTATGTTTAGAAGCATGAGATGTCACCAAAATGCCACCACTGACTGTACACTTCCAATATCCAGATACAATATTTACCCTGTTCTGAACTCTGTTCACTCTCTCCTTATGTTTCAATCCTTTTTGCCTGCAGAAGGAAACTATAGGTCTAGGTTCTGCACAGCCTTCATCAGTGATTCCACTGGCACAAGGCAGCTGAAAAAGTAACTCATGTCATGACAATCTGGGAACTGTCAGAGCAACAGCACGGGGTGTCTGGCCCCACCAGCTCCCGTCCTTGGGAAACACCGCAAAGCTGGGTCACATCACTTCTTGGCAGCAAGAAGAGCCCATGAGGCAACTGGACAACAATAAATAAGAGCTGCTCCTGGATCAATCCCAGAAAGGGGAGGACTGGAAATACAGCATACAACCAGTATGGCCACTTTCCCTGGGTGCCCTGCCTGGCCTTCCTACTACACATGGGCTTATGGATCTGGCCCATAATATCAACTAATAAATGAAACTGGTACCTGCTTTTACTAACATCAACTAGTAATTATTTTGAAGAAAGGGGTACTTACTACAGTAATATCATCTTATTGCGGAGTTATTTTATTGCTATTTGCCTAACTACATGGAATGGTACAAAACTAACAGCCATGAAAAGCAGCTTGCACCTGGTATCTCAGCTAAAATCTCTAACACAAACCCAACACAAAGTCAGTGGCCACAGCGGTAGATGTGGCTGTATGTCCCCAAGGAAGCACCTCCCAAGGTCCACCAGAATGGTCCCACATGGGTCTTCGTGGGGGAGACAGTGCTCTGAGCTCTCTCTCACAAAGGCATGATTTTGTTCTACTGAAACCCCCCACAGAGAGCTGCACTAAAGGAAATAATTAGAAAAAAGAAAATGTCTGACATCTTAAGAGTATGTACCAGGAGGACCATTACATATCTTCCCCACAGATGCCTTAAAATGAAGATTATATGAGCAGTAACCTACTCTCTCGTAACAACTTGCTTGGATCACTTCAATTACCGAAGCTGGCTGTAGTGACTCAGATTGCTTCCATCACTTAATATACCTTGTACTTGGAAAATGTATCCACACGTGAGGATTATAGCTACTCTATTCTCTTTTTAATTAAAAAAAAATCATTGATATGGACCATAACAGCTGCTTTATTTTTAATAACATTTTCTGTGATGATGCGGGAAGAAGGGGACAGACAGAATAATTAACCAGCCTACTTTTGAACCAGTATTATTCTATTAATATTATTCTGAGGCGATATTTAAGTATTAAGTGTTTTACTAAGCAGCAAATTACAGGAAACAGGGCCTGACAAAACTGAAATAACTTCCTAAAATAGAAGTTCTGCAATTCGCACATTTCTTTTCCCCAAATAAAAAACCAGACCAATGCCCTAAATGGCAAAAACTTTACCGCTCAAATCATAAGCAGGTATGAAAAATACAACAAGGTTGCATTATGTCAATATTGTGCTTTTTATTCTGATTAGCAAAATACTGTAACAGGAAAATAAGTGTATAACAAATAGTAGATATTGCAGTTAAAAGACTTGATAGTTTGGGTCCATGGAGCCACCTGGGACTGTTGGGAGTTCCCATGGCAACCTCAGCGCGGACAATTATGGAGCAGCTACAATTATTCTGAATATGCCTGTTGAGAAGAGAGTTTCATTTTGAGATGGCCACAAATAATGTCATTCTGGAGAGAAAATTCACAACCAAACGTTAAAATCAAATGAAAAACAGTGACAGATTTTATCCTGCCTCCACTTCCTACAGGAGTATATTTTTATCTCTAAATATTAATAATGATGTATCATCTATAAATCACTGAAGACAGATTTGATCACACTGCTAAATGAGCAGATAATTGATTCATAAGTTTTAGTGATAGGTGAAACCCCAAAAATATGTAGATTGATTAAAATTACTTGTATAGAAAATACTGCATTGCACCTATGCATAATATACCTCAATTTCTATCTACTGGACAACTTTGTATAGATAACACATGGATAGTATATAAAAAGAAAACTCCTCGCAACAAAATCTAAAAATACTTTTAGTGAGGTTGCTGTGTGATTCCATTAATGAAACCACCGTCCTCCTTAACTCTTCCTTTTCCAAATTTGGTCCCATTTGTTAGATAGGATCTGTAACTACTGGGCACAAGTCAAGGTGTTAACTTTTCAACTGGCAGAATGGGCCATGAGGAAACTTTTTCTCACGATAAAGTTTTTACTGTTGAAATACAAATGTAAGTGAAGAGAATATTTGAATCTATTATTTATTTACTTACTTATAATTTCATATAACTATTTTATGGTATATTTACACTGAATAAATGACTTAAAGAATCTGTGCCAGAAGGTCCAGTAAGTAAAGCAGCATACCAGTGAGATTTGTGTGACTAATAGCCACATTTAAATAAGAAGTCTGGGTTATTATAGTGGAGCTAGAAGGATGTGATAGGATTGTGTAAAAAGTTTGAAATCAAGGAGAGCTTGAGGCCAAATCTTAAAGATGTCTGTTGAACTATAGATGCAGGCAGATATTTTTAAAATTTTCATTTATTTAAATGGGAGGTAGCTCCTAGGTGCTCTTGGACATTCTACTAAGCACACTTTTAACTTTAGTCAAAAGAGCAAAGTCAGTTTTAAGAATGCCTTGGACATTTTTTTTTTTTAAGACCAGAAACTGGTTTTGGAAATTTCACATCTATTGGTTCTCTGATCTTTCATAATCTGAAAATATTCTTATTCTTTCTTAATATTCAGCAATGTAATTATCATCCTGAAGTTTCTCTATTCTTGTATAGCTTATGTTTGTACATAGTCCTTTACTCTGAAGACCATTGTTATTCATTTTAAGTATTTGATATTAGTAATGCAATACATCTGTAGAAATTGTTGCAATTTTGTGCTCAAAAATAAATCAATGTAGCTTGGATATCAATCACACTGTCATATATTGAAAAGTAGACCAAGCATCATAAATGTAGACTTGATTAGCCAAGCACTCTGAAGTTACTCTGTTCTATAAACTGATAAATGAGAAGATAGCCCAGTATGACCTCTCGGTCTATCTAGATTCTTAATCTTCCTGACAAATACACTCCCCTAGTAAAATGGCAGTCAAGATCTGCAATCTTCTTCCTGTAAGGTTTCAAAGCTGACTTCAGAACAGTGGAAATATTTATTTAGATGATGTCATTAAATCACAAATAGCAGCATATTTCTCAGTGCTATCTCCTTGTTCCTTAGTATAGGGTACCTAAAATAAAGTGACTATGTAAGCCAAGATATAAATGATAAGAAAAGTAACGTAAAAGATGGTCAGAGTCAGCACCACTTATGTGCCATACCAGAATAGCTAATAAGCTAAATATCACCGTTCAGACATCTGTGCTGTTAATTTTTATAAGATATCACAGTAATCCCCCTTGAAACCAAGTAAGAACATTACTGGGAGGGTGCTGCTTCCCTCAGTTCCTTCTAACAGTGGTAAATTTGAGCAAGAGTAAGAGGTTGAACCTGAATCCTTTTACTATGCAATACTGCATTATACCAGCCTTGGTCTAGTTATAATTACAGGTTTTGTTCAGCCACTCATATTCCCATATATCACCACTAAGTTTTAAAACTGCTCATTATGCAACTCTGTAAATGATATTCCTGGAGACACTGTTCACTGAAAACCTATTCCCTCTTCTTGATTAATTCAGACCACTAAAATAGCATCAAACAGGCTACCTCTAGAACAGGGAAAGCCTCAAATATATGGTGCTGAAGCTGAACTAATTAGACTTTGAGACAGACTAATTATTTCTGAGGCAGAGCTGACCCTATGTGAAGCTGCCGTTTCTGGGACCCAGTCCAGTAGCTTTACATGATGCAACCTCTCAGGATTTCTACTCCACTTCACTGCAGGACACCGATAAGCCCTGACTGTACATTCTGCAACCAACATCTTTACAGTAGGATTAAGAAAAAAACCTAAGAGACTGTAAATTCAATATGCAAGCATACTGCATATAATAACTGACATTTTTAAATAGACAATTTTAGTGATGTGTCTTCGTGCTGCCTCTGTCCTGAGAAAAAACAGGTAGATTTCTATACCTGTATCACCAATATACACATCTCCACCCAATTCCAGCCTCTGTATACTGCACAGAGACATGTAAGGGGTGAAAAGAATTACTTCTGAAGCTATTCTTTCTAGGGAGGATAAAAAGTAAATATGATCTTGAATAGAAAATGACCTAGTGCAGCAAAATAAAATCACACTAGTCAGGTCACAACTGTAAAGAAAGGAAAATGGAATGGAGGTTCAAATACTTCTCAAATGTATAACAAAAATCATAGTTCATGCTGTAGACAAAAGTATGGTAGCTGATCCAAATGTGTTCAGAAGAAATTGATGCACCTTTTCTTTTTCGTTCTTGAAAGTTGAACATGTGCCGTTTTTCCTCACTTTCTTGGGTTAACCCATCTTTTATAATAACAATGTAGAATTCTGCCTGATGGTGAACATAAAAAATTGCCATTTCAGGTTGAAAGGAACAGCTGTAAGTGTTTGCTTATGCACAATAGGTACATTAATTACTTTTTGGATAAACAGCTAGACTGAAGTTGTAAATGTTCAACCAGAAAAAGGAAAACAATACTGCAGAGATTGAAATATTTCATATTCAATATTGTGTATACAGCTGGAAAGAGTAGCCAAGTCAGATGAGCTGAATCCAATACAGACATTAGCAAAACACCCCCCTCCCCAGACCATACCTGTCCTATCGCAGGGTTTAAGGGCCAGCAAGAATTTTGCTGTAATATTGGCTGTAGTTGTCAGAAGAGACAGAGTTGCTGGCTAAGTCTGTTCATTAAGAACAACTCCTCTGCACGGCACAGTGATACCATGTTTGTGACTACCAACCACTCCAATCTGCACCACAGAAGGCAGGAAGACTGTGGAAAGTATCGCTTTTCTTCAGTGTTTCTTTTCCTCACATAACCAGCAACACCTCCTATCCTTAAAAACTTCCATACACATGTTAAAGATATCAGAATTTCAAATTACAACCTTTTACAAGGATTTTGAGGCACCAAATAGTCATTAACATTGTAAATTTTTTCTTAATAAAAAAAAAAAAAGCATTTAGTGTGAAAGATTCTAATTATTAAAATTCTGTTGTTTCTGAGAATTTAATTTGTCAAATAATGTAGATAGCGGTGATAACAATTGGCAGATTTTTCAAGTATTAAAAGACATTGAAATTATTACATATACTTGACATAAAATATTTCAAAATATCAACTTGTAAGTGTCAGAGCAGAGAAGCTGAACTGTCAGAAAAATGATACCACTACAGAATTAAATAATTTGGTCCAATCTTCGAGAAACCCAAAGGCACATACTGCTGTCACAGGCAACAGAAATAGCAGCACTCTAACATATATCTTTTATCAGGCTTTTTTTTTGTTTGTTTGTAATAAAATGAAAAATGTATGCAATATATAGTTGCACCCATTTCTTCTCAATCCTCACCTCAAACTTTTGCCGGAGCTCGGCATTTCCATCTTCATCAGCATCTGGAATTGGAACATTATAATATTCACCTTCTTCTTGATTCAGCAGCTTGTACCTGTGGAACATTTGAGAAAAAAAAATGGTGACTTCACAGTTTTATTCCTGTTAGATTTAAAACCTGATTTAGTAGTTTGTGTGTGCTTTGTATCAATGTCACAGGTATGTAAAGAACTGCTTTCAAAGATCTAAAGCAAAATCAGAAACAGAATATATTTAACATAAAATTAGATCTTCAATCCCAAACTATCTGCCAAGGCAGTTCAATGGACAAGGAAATTCTTCCCACCCATCCTGTGATATGATGGGAGACATCAACCCTGATGAACCTTTGCTTCCAGTGCTTCTATAGCCCTGAACAATTATCTTTGATGAAATGTACTTTTTGAGATGTGATGAGTTCTACCCCTAGCCTTGCAGGTAGTAGAAGGCATTTCATAAAATCAGTTCCCATATACTTTGGATTTGCAGAGCTATTTATAACATGATACACTTTGTAATGAATATATCATATTTGAGATAAAAATAAAATTCCTATCACAAGACTATGTACACAGAACTGAGTTTGCAGCAGCTCCTGGCTCCAGCAGAACTTTCATGAACACCACAAAAGAAAAGCATTCCTTTTACTCTCCTCCTCTGTCATCTATAGCTTGTTTCCTAGATTTAGTTGCATTTTCGGTGAATTTATAGCCTGAGATACAATGAAAAGCTCTAGAAAAGGTAGATTATATTGAAGAAAAACACGAGTTTTAAACTTTTTGTGATATATTCTCTCCTTTTTTCTTTTCAGAAACTCTTACCATCCACTGGCTGGCATTTTCATAAGCTCTGACACCCCAAATGAAAGAGATCCCATGAAATCATTTCTGGTTGTTCGATCCCAGTCCCAGACCTCTACGGATAACCGTCGATCTTTGTCTGTAGGTTTTAATTTACTAAAAAGGAGAGAAATAGAGGAATTTTCAATGTAACACTGAAAGAAATGATTCAATACATAAAAAGATACTACACTAAAAGATGTTAAACTTACAATGTGAATGACTCATTCCAGTCTGGATTCAGAGTAGAACGGATAGTTTTTGTTTTTTGTTTACTTTCATTCTTAGGATCTGGGATGAGCTTCAGTTTAACATAAGGATCTGAAAGTCCATTTGGATCCATGGGAATCAGGTTTTTTGCTTCTCGCACTGTCAATATAAAACACAGCTGATTTGTATAGGATTACAAATCACCATTAAGAAAGCAGTAACATGTCAAACCAGAGTTATTGAAACATGTTGAAAAATATAACAAATAATACACGAAACCCACTTGTCAGACTTGGCATGGAAGAAACTACTTGTTGTAAAGAAAGTTCACACTTAGTGATATTTATAAGAATGGTAAAGAGAAATGACAGGAGAGAAGAGCAATTCACAAATGACATGCAGCTTCCAGGCAGCTCCTTTCCTACAATGAAATGATTAAGTGTCCAAATCCAGCACTATAAATTTTTAAGTGGGTAGCAATTCTTTGTGCTTTTATTTCCTCATCAGTCTTTGGTTATACAACTACAGGGCTATCAGACAAATACTAAAATAGGTTATTTGATACAATTCTTCATTGGAAAGGATCTAACACTAAACTACCCTCTGATTCATAGTTCATTAGTCAGATGGAATCACTGTAAGCATTATGTCATGACAGCAACCAAAGTAAAAGCACAGAGAAGACAAGTTTAACTTCAGCTTCACAAAAATGTTAATGCAGCTTCTATTTTTACAATGTCAAAAGTAGGCATAAAGTGAGTTAATATCTCTCATGTTCCTACTGATGCCCAAAGAGAGAGAGAGAACAGCCAGCAATCTGGGAGGGTGCCATTCCCGCACGGCCACATCCCTACACGGAGCAAGGCAGGCAGGCAACGGTGGGTTACGAAGTCATTTATCAGGGGCTCGGCTGCCTTTGGGTTTCTGGCTGGCTGGAGTTCGAGCAGCAGCTGGGGGGTTTGTTAAGCAGCTCAGAAGTCCCTGCAGGGGAGTGGAGTCTTCCAATGGATGAGCAAAGACAACACTTCCCTCCCTCTTGTAGAGGACCAGCAGAATGCCCAAGTAACATCTATACAACATAAAAAGTTTTATTCTGTGTTAACAGCATTCAGCCATCAGCTTCTGCTGAACCTCAGAAGAAGAGGTGATTTTTCCTCATGCTGTGAAACCCCATCCCACACGAACTGGTCATGCTGTGATGAACTGCAGCGATTGAGTTGGGATGGGGAATTTAGAGCTCACAACTGGGCATTTCAAAACCTACTGGGAGCAGTAATCCTCTGGGCTTGTTTTGGACAGAAAACAGCTTTCATTCAGGAATTCCTTTGTGACATTTATAGTTTAAGATCAGAATTGTTCCTGGAAGGAAAATCAGAAGAAGCTTTGAAGGTGACAGTTCCTAGGGTATGAAGTAAAGTCAGCATTTAAGAGTGAGTCACTAGAGAGATTATCCCAGATTGACAGTGCCTCAGCTACTGTCTTCACAGTGTCAGCATCAGAAGGGCTTTTTAATTTATCTACCTAACTGAAGAAATCTGAAAGGAAATTTAGGAAAGATCAACCCTTAAGTCACCTAATATTCCCTGATGGAAAACATCTCCTACAAAAATTTGAACTTTAAGAATAACTTAAGAACTCAATTGGAGCTAATGCAAAAAAAAAAAAAAAAAAAAAGTTGTCAGGATCTTCAGCAACAGATAGTTACTGTTTGCTCAAAGCACTCTCCTTTTCTCCCAGATGTAAATGGTATTTTCATATTACAAACAAAAATTATAGACCTTCCCAGGATTTCAACCAGTTATTTCCCAGCATGGAGTTGGAAAGGCATCCAAGCGACACAGGTATTTTATAATGTGTTGTTTACTCTCATTATTTATAGAATAAGAAGAGGACAGTTTTTGGGCAACAGTCTAATGATGTGTAAACCAGCTGAAGTAGATTTTTTCAAAATGTCCTTTGTTCTCCCTTTAGAAATAAAGGCAGGGCTGTGGTGGATTGAAAGAATGTAAAGCACAGGACGGATACAATTGTGCTTAAGGCCAGTGAAAAGAAAGATTGTGGTGTTTGCAAGACCCCCATTATAACATAGTACTGAAGGTGATTTACAAAACCATGCAACAGTTCTGTTCCATTTCCTCTACACCAGATGCATTCACAAGTTGATGTAATTAGCTCTAGGCGGCCATTTTCCTTTTACACGATGGAGAGAGTGTTTTAGTGTTCATAATGACCGTGTTCTTCCAAATGACATAACTGCTAAGTAGTGCTTTAGTGCAAATCTACTATTTAGCTGCTGTGCCATTTGATTCAAGCTGTAGAGGGAAAATTTTTTGGGGGAAAAAAACGGCCACTGCCACAGAAAACACATAATTTCAAACAGTTTGACCTGCTCTGTTTATTTATAATGAGAGAGTATTAGCTGTGGTGGAACAAATTGGAAGAGAAAATACCAGATATAACTGGTCCCTTATATCCAAAATAGCTGTAGAAAGAAGGTAGAGTACAGGAACGCAAGCTACTTATTTGGAACACATTAGTTTATTTGACAAGGTAATTCTCATGTAGAACAGATACCCTGATGTAAATTAATTATTGAAATTAGATCATTGGCTGGAAAGGAATCATGTTAACTTGAACCAACAGTTGATACTGACTAAGTTATGTTTCTTAAATTTGTGTTTTTAAAATGAGAGACAGAAAATGCTTATGGGCTAAAATTTTAAAATAAAATGTAATTCTATTCACTAACTATATTACACAAATAATTGTACCAGAAAAAATACACAGTGTTTTAAAAGAACAGAACAGAAACAAGTGTCTGTCTTGCTGAGCATTTCATCTGTAGTTTTCCACAACCCTTGTATAAAGCTGACGGGATGTTGCAATTGGGGAAATGATAGCTTTCAGTCCAGAGGCATTATCTCCATTCTCATTTACTCAGAGTTTGCCCTTTGAGAATCTCCACACCCAGTGCTCAGTTGGAAAACCATTTCTGTTTTCAACCCATGAGAAAAAACTCCACCCAATAATAAAATTTAGCACACTAAAAGTGATTTTCAAATACTTCTGAGGAATAACATCATCTAACTTATTTTAGTTAAATATTTACAATCCGAAAGGGATTAAGAACCATAAAGTGAGTGAAGGATGAAGTGACAGCCTTCAATGCAAATTGCTCTTTCTCTTATCCTATAGGGTTTTATTTGGGGTCGATTTTTTTTTTGGCTTCTTGTGCATGGCAGTTGTGACTGCAATGCCAGGTTTGGCACATGAGCTATTACTTCAAAATCCACTTCTTGATTTTTATTTCTATTCTGTAGTTTGGTGTGAGGAGCAGAAATCTACATGTTCTATAGCTTCCCAGAAATACGCAGTAGGAAGTTTTTCATTAAAATTCCTTGAACTATATGGCTTAATTTTAACATGGCATTTTCAGACCAATCCTTTATGTTTAAATTCTACCTGGAGATGCTCAGTGTGAAATTTTGAGAAATTGGCTGCATGGATGCTGAGCCATTCTCCGAGGCTTAGCCCTGGAGAGCTCCCTGGAGAAAACCATCACCGATTAGCCTTGATACCGCTGCCGAGTCTAGAAAACAACACTGACAGCAGGAGGACATGGCAGCATGTGTAAGACTACTTTCTTTTGCAAGAAAACGCAGAAAAATAAAAAAGCCCTCTAAATACAAGAAAAAGAGAAGGTGAATTGGAAAGGAGAGATGCAACATTTACTAAACACAGGCTGCCAAAGAAGTCATTGTCTCACTCCTTGTTTTAAGATAATCTAGCCCATTTGTACTTTTGTCTGCATAATTAGTACCCTTGGATATCTTTTTTTAACTGACTTAGTACTTAGTTTCTTGAGGAAACAGCATGATGATACTCATGCTAAATAGTGCTTATAAAGAATTATCATCCAAGTGGTCCGTCTCTTTAAGGGCACCCTATTTTTAATGAGACAGGTCAGGTTTCTGTAAAAGAGCTGACAGGAAGAAGAGATTTACACTCCCCACCAAAGGCACTCTCTCTTGTGTGTGGCTGAAACAGAAAAAGATGAATTAAAAATAACTCCAAGGAACTAAATCAAATTACTGTGACTGAATTCTGCTATTGTACTAATGATAGCAAGGAATCTCATACTGCTTTATAATTATTGGTTAATTAAACTCAACACTGCAATAGAGATGCTACTCTAATTTATAGATGGTTGACGTGAGATAAAGTTTAACATGAGTTGGAACATAACTTAGACAGAAACTTAGAATAGTACTTGCCAGTTCTCTGTCATAATTATTAAGCATAACAACATCTGTACTGAGCAAAGCAGCTGGTACAAGCTAAATTTCGTAATGTTTTGTCCAGATTAGACACTTAACAAGGACTGAGAAAGCACACAGAGGAAAAGACGGCGAAACGAAATATATATTGAAGTTTCTAACAATTCCAATCTTGCCCAGGTTTTCCTTCTGAAAAACAGAAACAGTTGTCAACTTGCCATTGTGAAAAGATGTGCCATTTTCCTTCTCATCTTTAATGAAGAAGAGACCACAAATGTTTACTCAGCAGACAATGTAGACTATTTGGTGACTGTCCTATGGCTGTTCTATTATGTGATACTTATAAACCAGCAGTATCCATCCAGAAGCCATGCCTCAACGCCCACTTTTCCAGGAATAGTATAAAGACATAAGCAAATACAGAGCTGGTTCCTAGGTATTCATACTTTAAATAAATATCTAAATAAGACAGAGTGGGCTGACAGAGAACAAATGACATTTTATGTAAAGAGACGAAATTCATGCAGAAATTTGAGGAATTTAGAGTGGATTACAAAACTGGAACTTTTTCCCATAAGACTGCATAGTTCAAAAGTTGCAATTCATATGCAGTTATGGATTTATAACTTCTTGTGATACCAGCAAATAAATTTAGTCATGGGAATGAGTAAATAAATGTTTCTGTCCCTAGAACAAAGCTGAATTATTAGCAGCATGACTTTACTCAGTTCCTTTTCAAGTGAGTCACAGCTACCTTTTTCCTGAATTCCCAAATGCTGATAAAACAGTTTACTAATCACAGCAACCATTTCTTGCCAATCTTTTACTCCCTACAGGCAACTTAGATAAGCAGAAATCTCTCAACTGCATGCGAATAGCTGC